CCTCGTGCCGAGCCCGCCAGGAAGCTGTTAGCGCGCAGGGCCAATCACAGGCACTGAGACATGTTCCCGGTCCGCAGCTGCAAAGATCGGGAAATGTCTCAGTGTCTGTGATTGGCCCTGCGCGCTGACAGCTTCCCGGCGGGGTCCGGCACAAGTCGCTTGCGAACACGCCCGAGCCCATCACTAATCTGGAGCAGTTACCCAGGGCAACCAATCAGCTTCTCTTCAGTTTGTTAAGATTTCAAAAGGAAAGAGAGAAGCTGATTGGTTGCCATGCATAGCTGTTCCAGATTTTGTCTGCTCCAGTTTTGACAAATTCTCCCCAATGTGTTTAAATTATCTCTTTAGATAGTTTATAGACGTTCCCAACAAAGGTAATCAGCCTCGTTGCTATGGGAACATATACACTTCCGGTTGCGGCTTCTCCGCTGTCTATAAGCATGCGTAACCTAATTTTTACGTCACTTCTGCCCTCAGCTTTTAGCACATGCGCAGTAGAAGGTTGATGTATCTGCGCACGCGTAGTGAGAACTGTCAGATCATGGCCCGCCCCCTGTAGACATCAGGGTTCGCACTGTGAGAATTCTTGTCCCCGGCCGGCTGCCGTACTGCAGAGCGGGCCGCGCTGTGAGGTGACTCCGGGTGGCGGAGGACAGAGAAGAGCCATGAAGAAGGACATCCGCATCTTGCTGGTGGGAGAGCGTGAGTGTCACTTCTATATCCTTCCCCTTCTATGAACCCCTGTCACCAATATTACCTTACTTATTCAGGGGGAGTGTCACTTCTATATCCTTCCCCCAGTGTCAGTACTATCACCCTGATGAGGGCAGTGTGCCCCCGTTATATCCTTCCCCCGGTATCAGTACTATCACCCTGATGAGGGCAGTGTGTCCCCGTTATATCCTTCCCCCAGTGTCAGTACTATCACCCTGATGAGGGCAGTGTATCCCCGTTATATCCTTCCCCCAGTGTCAGTACTATCACCCTGATGAGGGCAGTGTATCCCCGTTATATCCTTCCCCCAGTGTCAGTACTATCACCCTGATGAGGGCAGTGTGTCCCCGTTATATCCTTCCCCCCGGTATCAGTACTATCACCCTGGTGTGGGCAGTGTATCCCTGTTATATCCTTCCCCAGTGTCAGTACTATCACCCTGATGAGGGCAGTGTGTCCCTGTTATATCCTTCCCCCAGTATCAGTACTATCACCCTGATGAGGGCAGTGTGTCCCTGTTATATCCTTCCCCCGGTATCAGTACTATCACCCTGATGAGGGCAGTGTGTCCCTGTTATATCCTTCCCC